AACTGCATAGCAACACAAACCACCACTCAGAACACATAAGTAACTTCATAGCAACACAAACAACCACTCAGAACACATAAGTAACTGCATAGCAACGCCCTGGGGGCTACCCAGAACACCCCAGAAACTGTACAGCAACACAAGCAACCACTTAGAATGGCTAAGTAACTGCATAGCAACGCCCAGGCAACCACTCAGAACACGCTATCGTAGTGACAGAGTTTTGCATAGGCAAAACACTCACATTTTCCTCAGACAGTATTGTTTATATTTATGCATTTGGCAAATCAGATTGCATTCAAGGTACACATTTATGTTTGATCAGTTCTTGCTTTCTCTGGGAATCAAATCCATGACCCTGGTGTTGCTAGTGCCATGATCACGGAATGAGCTACAGGAACGTTTCCTTTTATACTGTTTAAACTTGAAACCAAATCTACATACGCTTTATCATAGCTTCTGATATTCTAGAATTGATTTTTGAAAGTTCAGTTTTTGAGATTTGTTATATGTAGATTCTAATTTATAGGAAATAAAAATTCCAGATCGATCTCTTTAATGTTTGTATCGTGTCTCCCAGACAGCAATGATATCAACTGAAGATCTTATGGACACCTGAGTTCTCCTGCTTCTCATATATTTCTCTTGAGATTAAGATCAACTGTGCTCCATTTTGCCAATATCTCAAAGTCAAAGATCTCAATATGACCAAAGTCCCATCAAATGATCTGAGCTGCTGTTCATGTTTATTTTATAACTCTATACTCTTACTGTACGTCAACTGCTGACTCATTTGTGACAATTTTTTTATCTCGGAGAAACATCTGAGACAACGTACATGTGTAAAATACTCAACTGAGACCTCCTGAGCTTTGAAGGAGTATCTAGAGGTTCTCTGTTGCTCCATATGCTGCATTTACGCCTATGCTTTAGTCATTCTCAGACTGCTTGATGTCTTTTAGCTGTCTCAGGTGTTGTTAGACAGGTCTCTGTCTTTTTTCTTGATGAGAGAGTGGGTGGAATGAACCCGGACAGGCTGCCACTG